ACACACACACACACACACACACACACACACACACACACACACACACACACACACATCCTTGTATTTTCACCAAACCGAGGACTTTGTATTGACTTCCATTCTTTTTTGTAACTGTATTTAAGACTAACCCAGATCTTTTCCCTAAAACTAACCATTACTGGTCTATATTTAACTCTAACCTGAACCAGAACTTAATTCACACCATACCTCTAAACCTAGCTAGTAAAGCACAGCAGAGCTGTAAAAAAGTGAGGACATTGAAGAGGTCCTCACTTTACATCAAAGACCTCCCTTTGATAGTAACTATGGTGCAAATGGTCCTCACTCTGTAGTAACAACAGTACACACACACGCGCGCACACAGCTGTGTCCACCTATACATATGGGGACATTCCATTGACTTCCATTAATTTCTACAGCCTAACCCTGACCCTCATCACACCAATGGGATTTAAACCAAACAGGGACTCAGCTTAGGTCACCACATGTAGGTGCTTTGTCTTAAAATGGTCCTTTTATATCTCACAAACACAGGTTCGCCCATTTATACATTTGGGGATGTTCCATTGACTTCCATTACATTTCTACAGCCTAACCCTGACCACAAACCCTAAGGCTAACCTCACAGGTACTACCTGACCCTAAAACTAACCTAAACTCAATTCACACCTTGGTCCTAAACCCAACCCCCAACCCACCAATGGTATCTAAACCAAATGGGGACACGATTTTTGTCCCCAAATGCACCAGTTGTCCCCAAAGGTGGGCATTTTGTCTTAAAATTGCCCCCAAATGTCACCAAAAACAACCCCCCCCCCCACACACACACGCACACACGCACACAACTGTGTCCACTTATACATATGGGGACATTCCATTGACTTCCATTAATTTCTACAGCCTTAAGGGCTCGACACACGGGGAGCAAAAAACTACAGTGATTAACGGCTGTCCTTGCAGCCAGGGTGAAACTCGACACACGGGACGCGACAGCGATGGCAGCGTTGCGAATCGAGCTCTCAGGTTGCTTGTCTTCACAAAATTTGATTGGTTCTTCTACTGCCTCTTGTAAAGTTTATTGGTGGTTCACAAAAAAGGGGTGTGTGCATTGCGGACGTGTAAATTAAACAAATCTTGCAATGCTAATGATATTGAAAAACAAACACACACCAAGATACAATTTTATGAGGGAAAAACTTACCGAATAACTTCACCCTGGTGCCAACAAATTCCCACAAATCTTTTTAGTAATCACTTGGTGAAAGTGTTAGCTAACTGCAGTGTGTYGCATACTCTCCTCTCATTGGTCAGTCAATGAAACCCTCGATGATTGGTTGTACGCTAAGCGACAGCGACAAAAGTTGAACATTTTTCAACTTTCATATGTCGCGTCGCAAGCTCGCGCGTGCACGTCTACGTGTACTAGCGTGAAATTTCACATGCACTATTTTCGCCGGTCGCTTAGCTGGAGGAGGGCAAGCGATTGTCGCCCCACCGCACTGGCTCCATAGGAAATGAATGGAGAGCGAGCGACGTCGCCTCCCGTGTGTCGAGCCCTTAACCCTGACCCTCATCACACCAATGGGATTTAAACCAAACAGGGACTCAGCTTAGGTCGCCACATGTAGGTGCTTTGTCTTAAAATGGTCCTCATATGTCACAAACACACAGGTTCGCCCAGGTATATATTTGGGGACATTCCATTGACTTCCATTACATTTCTACAGCCTAACCCTGACCACAAACCCTAAGGCAGGGGTCTGCAACCTTGCGGCTCTGGGGCCACATGTGGCTCTTTGGTCCCTCTGCAGTGGCTCTTTGAACATTTGACCAAACATAACAGATTTTTTTATTCTCACAACACTAATAAATTGTATACAAATATGTGATCAATACTACTAATATAAAAAATAAAACATGTTAGTTCGTGCTAGCCTGTTGTCTACCTAAATAATCCCTAAATAATCCATCTTCTTTCAATGATTTTTTTTCTCAAATCCATCAGGGTTATCTTAAAACACCTTTGGAAATACATAATAATAAGAATTAGGGGAAAAAATGTCTGACTAATTCAGCTGTATCAGTTTTTATGAAATTCTGTATAAACTAGCCAGCATTTTTCGTGTCATATGTTTTTTTTTCTTCTGTCCTGAAGTGTAAAAATAATAAATAATAAAATTCACAATATATTTTTTAGGTTTATGTCACCTCCACTGGCCTTAAAGGTTCACAAATAAGTCTTGAAAAAGGCCCACAAACCACCAGTTGATAATCACAGTTGTAGCTTATTTTGCAGCTCTGGACACATTTTATTAGTGAGCTGAGGAGCATGAATGGCTCTTTTGATTGTAAAGGTTGCAGACCCAAGGCTAACCTCACAGGTACATACTTGACCCTAAAACTAACCTAAACTCAATTCACACCTTGGTCCTAAACCCAACCCC